AAATAAAAAATCATTGTTGTAGTACTTAATTAGAAAAACATAATTACTTTTTGCTGACATTCTATTGTATATGGTGCACCCAAAAAATTTTGTGCACCCAATTTTTTTAGGTGCACCAGTGCATCTATTGCCAAGAATGAATGGATGTCTAACCTTCACCAACCTAGATAGATAATACTCACCAAAATCCGCCGTTATTTTGCGATAGAGATCGCACGGTTTGGTGTCGTCGAAAAGTCTGCTAGCGTCCCCGGCGATGTCCTCAAGCGCACCGACGTCCACACGGTCTCCGACTCCCACACTGTACATCGTGATCCCGGCGGCTCTTGCTGCTGCGGCGTTTGCTGTGTGATCATCCTGGGCCAGTGGATATAATAAAAATAGAGCAAGAAATCGGATAATTCAAACCTCAGTTAAATATTTAGTTTTTGTCAATTTATTGGCACAAATAAAGAAATGGTTTGGCGTACACGGTACTTAAAATAAAAAAAGACAGAAATATTGCAGACATAGATCTTGGGAGTGCCCACTTCCTCCCAGACTGCGGACAGACGATTTAGACTGCCAACTTTTCCTTAAGGTCAATCAGTGGTTACAAAACCAAAACCAAAACCCCTTCCTGTCACCCTACCTCAACCAAGCACACCTACAAACACACAAATGCACGCACACAAACGCACGCACGCACGCACAAACACCCAAGACCTCTATAAAGCCCTATGGTAAAAAGTACAAAGTCTGTCATACGGTACCTCGCCTTGAATATACCCGTCTGTCAGGACTACGGCCACTGGATGAACCCCATCATAGAAACGGGACTAAACAAAAACAAAACCAAGAATCATGCATCTATAAAAGGCTAGGACATCAGGAATAATGATACTTTGTAATGCATGAATAATGAACTATACCACTTGATCAAAATTTACAAACATTTGTGCCGCCTGGCATCCTTCTTCAGTGACAGCAAGAACAAAATGCAAACGGACACAGAATGGCGTGGGCGTTCAAGTAAGCCATTCCACTATACCTACACTATAAGTACATGGTGCAAAAGAAAATTGTAAAAAAAGATTTACTTCTACGGTTCAGACCTACCGTGTCCATCATGTAGCGAATAGTCGGTCCAGGTCGGCTCAGTCCTCCCTGCCGCTGTATGGATCCCACGGCGTTTGTTAGTCCCTCGTCACCCATCGTGAACCGGCCCAGAGGAACTTCTGTCCTCGGTGCGCAGTTAGAAACTATAACTCCGATCTGTGGCACGTGCAGCAAACACGAAATGATAACCATTAGTAACGAACAAAACACGCACGCACGCACACACATGTACACGAACACACGCACGTACACACATACGCATATACACACACAATCACACACGCAAAAAACATACACACACACGCACACACACACACAGACAGACAGACATATATACGTACACACGCACACGCACGCACACACTCACTCACACACCTCAGACACACACACACACACACTCACGTACGCACAAAAACACACACACACACACACACACACACAAACATGCACCCACACAAACAAATTTACACACACACACACACTCACACACACACTACACACACACACACACACACACACACACACACACACACACACACACACATGAAACACACACACACATGAAACACACAAACACACATACACATACACACACTACACACACACACACACACACATTCACCCATCCACATATTCACACACACACACACACACACACTCACGCACACATATTCACATACACACACACGCGCAGACTCCGCACCCAGAGTTAATTAAAGGTAATTAAATTCTAAACTTTCAGAACTTACAACTCACCCGAGTTTCGAAGTAGGTTCTGCACCCGTTGAACTTGACCAAGTACGCCAGGGTGTTGTGGAACACATTCGGGGCGATGCTGGAGGAATCGTCCAGGATGAGAACGATATCGATGTAGGGGCCACTCCTTCTAACTTCCCGGCCTCCGTCTGCGCTTGAGAACCCTAGAGATGACCTCAACTCCGGGACATCTGATGAACAAGTATGCGTACATCATAAATTACTTATGCTATATTTCTGATCGATATCTCCACTTAAATTAGATCCTTGCCTTCTAGCGCCGGGCACTGTGTCCATGTAGCATATATGTATTGTACCTTGTACGATTGTTGAGCAATAAAGTTCATTCATATGTATAAATGAGTACCGCATTGCCGTTCAAAGTATCCCAACTTTTACCTAACATTCTTACCACTCAATCATGCAACCAAGTGGTTCAGGCACTAATAAATACTGAACCATTATTTTAGGACCGTTTTGGTATAGGCAAAAGTAGTAATAAACAGACAGTTTCGTTTCTTTTTTTGGTCATTGTACGTGGTTTGTTCTGTCACAGCCTGCGTGAAAATCACAGCATAAAGCTTATTAAATCTGAATACAACCCGGGGATCAAACTTTTCTACCAGTACGTTAAGAAATCGCCGATACTTACAGCCACGTATTCCGCTAGTGGTGACGGCCAGCACTGAAGTAACCAGCCACAATTTCCACATCATGTTTGTCTGGTAGATTCCTGTGTGAGAACAGACGGATAAGTCTCTTTTAGCAAATGATTGTCCTAACCAAGACTGACACCATCAAAACACATGCCGTAATTATCTTGTTCTAAAACATACTGTCACGACGTACGGGCGACAAGCAAGGAGGTTTAAAATCATATTTTAATAAACAATCGTCCTTACAATGTTCTGACATCATCAAGATATAGCTCTGATTCACACGTTAACATATTACACGAGCGGTATCTCGTAAACGGTTCCTTATTGAAAACTCTCATAGTGTGTATGCACAGCTACGGCTGCTTTGCTTAAGTCGCACTGGTGTCCGAAAGCTAAAAAAGAGACATGATACAAAAAAATCACACAAAATATACGGAAAGAGAATTAAAACTACATAACATTTCTTACCGTCTAATGTCTCATCAAAGGAAACACTGTTCGGATGCCTCTATCCAGACCACAGTCAGTAGTGTGTGTGTGTTTCTTCCATCGCGCGCTCCTCTCTCCACAGCGCTGCGCGTTTCTGACAAGTGTCCCCGAGCAAATGTGCAGGACTGTCCAGCAGTCTAACCATTGGTCCACGTTAATGATAACACATAAACTTTCATCATCAGGCTACGTCATATGAGAGGACGTGGCAACGGGACAAGACCGGGGCACTGCTAGCCTCTACCAGGCTTCGGGAGGCGGCTGGAAAGAGTAGAAATTGGTCAAATAGAGAGATAACATGCCGGGGGAGTTGGTCCGCTAGAAAGTACAGTTCGGGTACGGCTAACTGAACTCTCCAGCAGACCAACTCCCCTGGCATGTTATCTCTCTATTTGGCCAATTTCTACTCTTTCTTTCCAGCCGCCTCCCGAAGCCTGGTAGAGGCCTTGACTTTTATGTGGCCCATAGTGCACCGCGTTTCCCGGCATGCAATGAAATCCAGCCTTGAAAAAAAAACTCACCTCACCTTCACCGTCCAGAGACTTTTGTTTAGTCTATCCTGTGCACATTAAAGTGTACAAAACGTCCTAAAATCAATAGTCTAATATCTAGCGGTATGATGCTTCCGACAGTTGGGCCTCGGGCGCAATTATGAGAAAAGAATGTATATTTTAATATTTACGGAAGATGTATACAGAGAAGACATGTCTAGTATTCAAAATATACTGCGCACATTTAAGTGTACAAAACGTCCTAAAATCAATAGTCTAATATCTAGCAGAGTGATGGGAACAATTATGAGAAAAGAATGTATATTTTAATATTCAAGGGAGATGTATACAGAGAAGACATGTCAACAAGGATGCAGGATGAAATCTTAAGGTTGTTTGCTTTCACTGCTGCAGACCCAAACGGATTTTGGAAGGTATCCATTGTCTGTGAAATTTACATCTGACTGGGACAAAATTATAGCTAGCAGAATGTAGAATGATTATCATGAAAATTCTTCTGTGTCGGAGGTTATATGTTTAAAGTTTTCTTCCAACACAAGAGATTGTTCTCACCTAGAGCTTTGACCAGTCTTTTGAAGAAGACCAGAGTGACTGGTCGAAAGCTCTAGGAGAGAACAATTCTGTGTTGGAAAAAAAGTTTTAACTTAAACATAAAGTGTATATCTAATATTGGTGTTATCTTCATTGCAAAGGCACAGACCTTAGGCTAAGCTTCAAGAAGTACTAATAGTCTTTAAAATTAGCGTTACATCTGGTGTCAAGTGTTTATTGACAGTCAGAAAACGACCAGTATATGTGAGTGAGCCAAAATTTACTTGTTTGTGTACATCAAAGTATACAACACAAATAAACATCACTAATCTTCTGTCCCTGCTAACACAGTTCTGTCATGTCAACTGAGATGAATAGCACTTGACATTTACAGAAACAATGAAGAAAACAAACACAACTAGGATGTAAGATGAACTCTTTGATAACACCGGTACCTAGCCCCAGATCGCAACGTGTGGGCGTGTGGCATAGCGGTAGCGTGTTCGGCCCAGGCCCAAGAGGTCCCGGGTTGGAATCCTGCCCGGTGTCACCGATCTTGTCCCCTTGGGAAAGGCATTTTACATGACTTTCCTCATTTCACTCAGGTGTAAATGAGTCCCTCAATACCAAAATCAATCGAAAAGACGAAAATGTAAAGAAATTAATTTGAAGAATAGATTATTCGCCAAACCATATTCTGTGTCATGTGTTCCACCTTCTTGACCACATAAATTTCATAATGAAAGTAACTTTTTTTTGTAAACTTTTTTTTTTTAATTCTCACCCTCGCATCTGTTTTGGGTTCCCAGAGGATGTCATCTATATAATCAAATCAACATGGTCTTATATATAATTTTATGAAACTAAATGTGTCTGAAAAGTCATAGCATGCATTGCCGCTTTCAACCGCCAGATGTCGCTTTTTCTTGCCTCTCTTTTCTGGAATGCTGGGAAATACCGCCTACGTGCTACTTCCGGTTGTTCATCAGTCACAGGACAGCGAGTCGGGCAAGGCGCCCGCTCTGGAAAAAAAAAAAGAAACTCCCAACTTTCCGGGTGTCGTGGCAAGTTTACAGGCGTTTTTCACAGTTTGAGGGGATTCCAGGCCCTAGATCAACAAACTATGGTTCGCGGAAAGGCTGGGTGAGCTTGCAGTCGGGTGTGAAGTAACCGTTCAGTCGGAGAGCGAGTGACAAGCTTCGGTGTTGTTTGGACTTTCAGGCGACGTTTTGGACAGTATTTTTCGGTGTGCAGTACCGCGGATTCTGGGGGAAACCTCCACAAAATGATGACATTTATGGCCAAGAAGAAAAAGTACAAGTTCCACGTCGACTTAGAGTTGGAGGAACTGTCTGCAGTCCCTTTCGTGAACGGAATTCTCTTCAGCAAGTTGAGATTGTTGGAGGGAGGGACCTTCACCGAACTGTCGTCAAGGTATGTGTCGGGCTCTTGTTGTTGTGGTCCTTCCCGCAAAAATTTCTACAACACTTCTGGATATTTTCAACCGTCCGAGGGACACGTATTCCTCAAAATTATCGTACTTCTTGCTTGCAAGACAGTTCAAGATGGTACTGTTGCAAGTAGAACTGTTATTTTGGGGAGGGGGGTGGAAGGGGTGTAATTTTATATTTTTAAAAGGTATTTTGTTGTGATGCGATTTGGGTCAAGCAAAAAGAGGTATGTGGGACGATTTTATTTCGCTTCACCTGAAAATACGGTCTCAGGAAGAAGTCATTTGTGGTATAGTACTTTATTTAGGTGTGGGTTTAGACATATTTTTCTGGTATTTATGATTTAATGTACTGTAAATCCTAAGTTGATGATTCAACTGCATTGACGTTACTGATACTGTAGATCTTTAAATATTTGCAGTGGTTTTGTGGGAGGTCACAGCGAAAATCACGACACAACGAATTGGCACTTCCACGGTATCACTACCCTACTACAGAATAGTTTTTACTTAAACTTAAAACACAACAAAAAACCTTCTTTCCTTCCTACCACGCAGTTAAATTCCTCAATAAATAAAAGAATCTACAGTAACACCTGTTTGGCCTGAAGCAAAGGTGTTTTCCTTTACCCTCTGGCCCCCTTTGAAAAACAAAAAAAGCCTCAAAATGTTCCTTCAAATGTATTTTGTCAACAAATCTGCCATAGTTTCCTTTGTACTTAACCTTTTAACTGCTGCCAAACCTATTAAATGCAAGACTGGTGCCTATTTAGGCTACTTATGCAGTACGAAGGTTAATGACATGAATGTACTTTCTCGTGGGAAAAAGCTGCATCTTGTCCATGTGTTTGTTCCAGTATTTTGTGTCAAAGCTATAATTATGTTTTGTATATTTGAGACACAAACGTTTGTTTACAAATGACATGCCGTAGAAAATTAGAGAGGACCTGCGTGCGTTATTTAAGTCTGTTAGCTAACGGACAAATGCTTATCCTTAAGTCATACAAATGGCAGGCAGCCTCTGTAGCAGGCTTATAGAACTGGGGGTTTGCTGGTCTTCGGCTGTTTTATGACTTGCCCAGTTTTAAAAAACGGGGGTAATTCAACCAGGCCGGCTATGTTGTCTATATGTAATCAGAAAATAGCACATAAAAGCTCCCAAAGACCTTGAAGATCCCCCAAACCCCCAGTTTTTGGCATGCTATGGAGGCTACGGCAGGCAGCCAACAGCGTCAAACAAGGCTTTAAACCGTTGCCACCGTCTCTTTTCACTGCCATTGTTCTTCAATAGGTCAGCTTGAACCCTGGGTCGTTTGAACAGGAACTGTCGTCCTATCTGATTAAGAGACAGGAACTAGCGGTTATGCTACCGTTTTCTTTCGTAATTTCTCTTGCTTTTTTTGGCTGCCAGCATGCGATGATGTGGCATCTCCATATCCTTGATTTTTTGGCTCCTTTTCAAAAAGAGAGAGTGAAACTGGGAAAAAAAAGACGTCACGACCAATAAGATTACTTTGCTAGAAATACTTGAAACGTCTGACAGTTTTCAAAATCTATCCAGTTGCTTGAGTAACAGTTTTCTTGTGTATCTCATCACCTGGATATCTAACATTTATTGAAATATTCAATGTAGTAGACTATTCCAAACATTTGCTGCTCTAGAACTTTAATAAATTAAGGTACCAGACTGTTTAATCTGATTCAGTTTTCGAATACCATGACATGAGCGAAAAGTAATTGTAATAGATGACAAGTCTTGTCCAACACTATATACATATTTTATAATTAAAGAATTTCCATCCACCCCGGCCATCTGAAGTCTGATAGTGGTAAAGTCCTTGCCAGGGATGGGTTGTGTTTCTATGACACCAAGAATTCCAAACCCTTCGTTCACCTGCCATCGTCGCCATATGCTAGATTTTGCTCAGTTGAAGTGGACAGTTTTCTACAAGGCAGGCCTAGACAAGCACTGCACTAGCTGGCATTATGACAAATGTTAAGTTCAAGACATACCCTTCATCAGAGCATAACTTACTCAGTTACTGTGAGTCCTCAAATGTTTGTAGTGGCTTTATCTTGGCCGTGACCTTTCTGCTGTGAAATCACGACATCATGAATTTCTTTTTGAAATATGCAATTCCTACACTGTGGAATTGTTTCATGAGCAAATTTGAAATACAATGTAAACCTCTTTTATCCTACAACATGAAGCAAAACTGTCAGAAAGGTAAATGGATTAACTATACATTTGAACTATGTCCTTTGAATTGAAGCTTTCTCTGGCCATGCGTGGGAGTGATACAATATTGACACTAGAGCCGCACCCCAAAACCATGGTGCACAGTCAGGCAATTTCCCTCTTGGAGTCACAATCCTTTTAAAAAATTTCCTTTTACAAATCTCAGAAATGCTGCAGAACAGTCTAGGGTGTCTCTTCTGTAATAGAATTATCCTTAGTCATCTTCTGATTGGTAAGACCTCTGAGAAATATGTTGCATGGTCCTGGATCTAGGAAATATTGCAGAACTTCTTATTAAATTACTAGTATCCTTAGTCATCTTCTGTTCATTGAAACCTTTGAAAAATATGTTGCACGGATCTAGGAAATGTTGCTGCAAGCAACTCACTATCCTGGCAAAACTTCATTAATTGAATTATCCTTAGTCATCTTCTGGTTGTTGCTGGTTGTTGTCCTAAGTACTGCGTGACTCAATGGCATGTAGTTGAGAAGAATCAATAGAAATGGAGTTAACTCTCTGTCGTCATGTAGGCGCACAAGGCAGTGTGTTTGGTCCACAAGCAGTGGGAGAACACACCCCTTCCTCTGGTCTCTACAACACAGACATGGGTCACTGGAAAAAACATACTGGTAGTCAAGATCTGAACATTGTAAGGGCTTAATGATGATAACTTTGTTACTAAAATGTCTAACAGAGCTTGAAATACTTAGTACCACCTGCATATGTAAGTTAGTGTAGGTAAAATTGACGTATATGAAGGTTAGTGCAGGTAAAATTCAATCAATCAATCAATCAATCAATTGGAGCTGTGCAGGTATTTCTGATGTCTACCTGCACCTAACCTGCATTGGGATTATATTATATATATGCTGCATTGCCTGTTACCACCTATGAAATAATGGCAAATGGTTAAAATTTAAATCTGAACAGTTTTAAAATGATACTATTACTTTATAAAGTCTGGGTGCTGCAGGTAAAAGTTGTCTGTCAAGTATTTTGCATCATTGCAGGTAGGTACATGTGCAGATATGCCAGATAAAAGAATTTCGAGCCCTTTGAAATGTACAAAATGACTACAAAAAAGCTGAACTACATGTATGGCCATGCAACCTTGTGTTGCTCCTATCTAACGGCCTTGTCCTTGGCTCCCATATGCAGTAAAACATGATTGGGTGTTTGGGAATGTGTCCAGTATCTCAGCCTGTGCTTTATTGATTGATGCTGTCAGTATTGGGGCAATTAGTGGCCAAAGTCCCATGTACAAATTGTATTCTTCATCATCGACTATTGATTAGTTATGTTGGCAAGAAGCGCAAAATTTCCTTCCACATTATTCTGTCCCGCATTGTCCCAATGGTCCAAGTTGTTTTAGTTTTTTTGTCTGACAGTTGTCCCAATTCTAGGTTTACCTATCCCACATATTGATATACTGTAAATATGTTTAGTTTTATGGTGGTTTTGTTCTGCATTAGAAGGGGCTTTAGGAGATTTTCAGTGTTCGAAATTTGCGGTTAAAGTAATTTACTGTAGTACAGTAGGTCATACATCGGAATCGCATATTTGCAGTGTCATAAAGAGATCACATCCAAAATAAGACCACTGCAAAAGTTCTGATATTTACAGTATGGAATCTCTAAGACCCTGAAATCGTATACTTCTGTAGCTATGGGGTAGACACCTGTCTGTGAATACCATAATGTTAGGGGACAATGGTGTTTTAAATCTGCGATAGGCTTTCAATACAGAGCACAGAAATAGGTCAAACATACAATATATATAGTAACCTGCCCTTTTCTCAAATGTCGCACATACAGTAAAGGTATGAAAAGATGGATCTTGTGAATATGTCACAGGTAAAATGTCCTACCGGATGATTATTAATATTTTATACGACAATACAATGTATGTAAACTTCTGAAAGGTCTGAAAGAAAATAGCAAATTATCACTTAAAAAAGTGGAGAAAAAATTGTTGATGTCACGATTTTGCGGTCTCCATAAGTCAATACGAAAAAATAGAAGCACCGTGTACGTGAATGTTACAAGATTCGCACTCACAAGGTTCATATACAGTACTTTGGAACTGGGATAAAGTTGATGTTAGTACTTTGACTCAAAGTTTGAGTGGACTTTGTGTAAAAGTGTACTTTGAAGTTTGATCTAGCTATATAGTCCATGGGCCAGACAAGATTTTGTTACCAAATCAAGGGACAAAACGCGAATGCCTTCATGTGATAGTCCTCCCCACAAGCTTTTGGAAAATGTATGATAACCATGTTGAGTGCCCAGCTTTGACCTTGTTATCTGACCTTGAACTTTGACCCCATAGGGACCACCTCCTTTCCTACTTATAATGCAAAGGGGAGTGTCAAATAATCAAATATAGATATTTTCCAACGTTACTTGGAGGCCAGATAAAACAGGAACAAAGGATTACAAAAATGTCAATTTTGTTCCGATATGTCATTTCTAAGAGAAGTTATGAGCTTTTGAAATTCGATTTTTCGGTAAAAATTGGTAAAAAAATGGAATGTTTAGTTTTCAAAACCTGTCAAATATACAGATTGCATTTTCGAGCTTGGTTTATGAATTCATCTGATTTGTTACACTTTCCCCTACATTTTAAGCTTTAAATCGTAAAAATCCATCAATCCAATCTGGAGATATGAGTATCTAAAAAGTTCTATTCCCACAGGCCTTCTGTGGGGGAACCGTTGCTAGGGCCGTTGCTAAGGAGGTACTGGG